AAAAAGCACCTTCTTCCTTTCAAGAAACAAAGGTAAAGTTAGGTTCGAGTTTAATTTGGAAAAGGAACAGTAGGAGGTTCCTAAGTATATTCCCACGTAAGTGGGTCGTGCAACTAGTGTTGCGTTCGTGGGCTCAATGTAAATCTGTGAAGAACCACACACTCGAGTCAGACCACAGTAAACAATTCTATTCCCAAGTGAACCTCGCTGTACCGTACAAGTTAATAGGAAAGAGGACCAGAGGATGGAAAACAACAAAAAAGCATACTTATAATTGTAATGCAAGTGCGAATGTGCTAACGATGCTAATAATAGCAAGCCGAACAAAGCCAAAGGAAATAGAAACGTAAGGTAAGAGGTAAAAGGATGGTTTAAAACTGAAACACAAGAACAATGCGTTAGTGTTTAGACTCCTCAACTCTTGGTGTTAGTACCCCATTATTGCTTAAAGCTTGCCATGAACCTACGATCACAGGTGCTAAAAACAATTTAAGCCTAACGCGATCGGAATTGGTAATATGAAGCTTCAGACAGTAACCCCGAGTGTTGTGTTTCTGGGTAAGACAGGATTGCCCTATACGACCAGTCAGTAAAACGTACGTAAGGGTTAAGTCGTCCTGAAGATGCCTATAGTGTCTCGAAATATCTACAATCCAAACAGCTTATCGAGATGCGAAAGCTTCCTTAACTCACGCAGTATTTTGTGTCAGTCCTCAGAAGTTATTCAATTGCCATCTTGTCGCGGACCACGCATGAAGAACAGGCCTGCACGAAGTATTCAAAATATAATCTGTTAATGGCTAAGAACAATATAACAAACAATGTTGTTTTGCTTCCAAATGAGCTGCGGAACATATACTGCATTCGGAAACCATTTTAAATTTCTGCCATCCAGTTCTCATTGGTTTTTAGTCTAGAAGACAGCAAAATATCTGAGTTGACTTGGCGGCCCGCAGCACGGCTTTTTGCTAACTTGACGAGTTATGTGCGTCCATGTGCTCATTCTAAGACCAAGCATTTGGCAAATTTGCTCGGCAGCCACTACAAATCTGGCCACTCCAAAACCTTACCAAGTTTTACCTGTTAAGCCAAGGGGAATTCAGAATCGCTCACAACACCTATAACATTTGCTCATCCTGATCCTACCTCCATGGGCGTGTCTCGCATAGTCAAGGAATGGTCCTTAAACTCCACAGAAAGGTCTATAGCATACAGTACGAGCCGACCAGTATCGAGAATCGACTCCTGTGTAACATTAGTTGGAACCGTGTCGGAACGAGAGCCCTGGACCCCTTAAACGCTCAACACCCTTCCCTCTGTGAACGCCGAAATACGCTTCCCGTCCTCGCCAGAAAAGCCGTAGTATTCTAGGGTAAACAGTAGGCAGTAGGACTGTGCTGAAGACATTGAAAAATGTCATTGGACAAACCATCTACAGCCTATCCAAATCTGCAGCTCCGGTTCAGAAGTTCCGGGCATCAGCAAGTTAGTTAAACAAGAGTAACTTCAGGGGAACACCGTTGAAACTCGTTATGCATACTGGACTTCACCAATTGCTTTTCGTGAGCTTCCATTACCAGCTACTCCAATAACTTAACAAGTAGCTTGTAACTCCAGCCGGTCTGTTATGTTCAGAAGTGCTTAAGGCTCATTTAAACACAGAGCAACCCATTAAATCCTTACAATCGGTATGTAGAAAGCAGCCATATGGGTAGCTCCCACATATGTTCGGTTTATAGCGCGTGGATCGTGCGTTATATATCCGGTACGCGACTAGACGACCAACCAAAAGTAGTGGGTAGAAGACACAAAAGTAGACTAGGGAAGAAGTTTATTGGACGGGAAGAGCCTTAGCTAATGCTAAAAATAGGGCACCCGGAGAGAGCTAGCTAGGGAGAATGTAGTTGGCGTCGAGAGCGTAGACGGGGCGTCGTTCGCAGTCGAGCCGCGCGCCAAAGACGGAGATCGTTTTCGTGTTTCCAACAAACGGGAACAACGTTCCAACAGACAAACCGAATGGTTCCCTAATACATAAGAGAGCTATAATTTGAATATTTTAGAATAGTTTACACAGTCATACGGGGGAATCTCCAGGTCCCTACACAGCCCCCCTCCTATAAGGGAAACCGTGGGTGACCCTTCGATCTACGTAAGGACTGTCCGTCGCCGGCCAGCCTTCTGCGAGACCAGGTAGTGAAACCTGATGCAGCTGCTGAGGGAGAACCAGGCGATCGGACCCTAGCGGGCTCCCACCCGTGTCCTCCCTAAAAGTGCCAAAAAGACAAAATGGGGGAAGTTCGTAAGCGTTAAATGTTCGCGAGTTCGTGAAGGTCAAGTGTTCGCATCAGCCTCGGCATCTCCTCCGGTTCATACATGGAAGATAAACGGAAACAAGAGCAGTGACGGTGGGGGCGAGGGCAAAAGCAAAAGTGACACTTACCGGATGAGGTAGGCGTCAGCCAAAACGCAGCTCTTTTTGTGTTTTCAAACCGTTTTGTTCTTTTTTGGGTTTTCAAAACATTTTGCGTCTTTTTGGTTTTCAAAAAAGCTTTTGTCGGCTTTTGTCGTTTTCAAACGCTTTTGGGGGTTTCGTGCGGGCTTGGCCAAAAGGGAAAAGAAAAGCAATAAGAAAAGTGAAAGGAACGCTAATCCCTTAATCCAGCTGGCCAATGAACGCGTCTACCCGACCTAGTCGACTTGTTCGTATCAGAGGAAGGAGTCGTCTTAGACGTCCTATGGGATCGCAAAATTGGAGGAACTGCTGAAGACTTGGCAGTTGGTTCGATGGGAAACGGCGCAGCTGAAGTAGAAGGCTTGGATGGAGCGTAAAACTTGGGGTCTGGGATGTTGCAAGCAGCCGAGTCTTCCATCATAGGCTGTGTTGATTCGTCAGAAGACGAGTAAGGTTCTTCGTTGAGCTCAGGTTCCACGTGGGCAACCTTGAGAGGGTCAATTGTAACGGCTTCGCGTTTACCGTGACGGTCGATGATAAGAACGCTGTCCTTACGCTGCAGGACCTTGAAAGGACCTTCGTAAGGTCGCTCCAGTGGTCTGCGGAGACCATCGAGGCGGAGAAAAACGAACGGACAATGCTGCAGGTCTTGTGGAATAAAAGATTTACGTTGTTGTTCTCTAACGTCGGGAAGCTTGTACTGACGCATGCTCGTGGCAAGCTGACGTGCATAATTTGAGTCGTAACGGGTAATTCTGGGACTAACGGAAAAGAAATCGCCAGCTAAAAGCATTGGTTGTCCATATACTAACTCGGCGCTGGACGTACGTAGATCGGCCTTTAGGGCTGCTCGGATCCCATGGAGGATCATAGGCAGCACCTCAGCCCAACTCAGCGCATTGGCGGCGCTAAGTGAGGCTTTCAACTGTCGGTGGAAACGTTCCACCATGCCGTTCGCTTGCGGATGATAGGCGGTCGTGCGAATGCGTTGGCATCAAATGAGTTTAAGGGATCGTTAAAGGTCGTAGATTCGAATTGCGGACCACGGTCTGTAGTCACTGTGGCTGGACAGCCGTGTGAAGCGACCCAGCGCTCGACGAAAGCGTATGTTACGGTTTACGCAACTACTTCAGGAATGGGAACGGCCTCGGGCCAACGGGTGCAACGATCGATCATAAATAAATAAATAAATAAATAAATAAACTTTTATTCTCGGCCATGCGAGACACACCTTTACAGGCATGATCATGTTTAGCTACCAGTGTGCTCAATAACGTACAAAAGTACATGTTTGGCATAACAATATTTGTAACTGTGTGGGTGTATATGCATATGTAATTGTGTATGAATTTAGCTTGTGTCGTTGAATGTGCTGCAGCATTTTTGAATGTTTGTTGTCGTCAGGAATGTGAGCATAAGTGATTGATGTCCTTGGGTTGGATAGCACTTTCCGGATATCCACGGGCCAGTGACTTTATTTTGTGGCGAGTCACATCCGCCACGTCACAGTGTTGATAAGCAGACATTTGTGGCTTTTTATAGGGAGAACGCTTGCTAGGCGAAAACCCACCACGTCCTGGAACACTGCCGCCGAACTATTTGCTGGAACGGGTTAAACCCGAACCACCCAGCTGCCAACACGAGGAGGTTGTTCGGCTAGACAGCCATGGTCAAAATATAGTCCATTCCTTTGGACGGGGCCAGAGGTCCCACAATGTCGAGATGGACATGGGCAAATCGCGCTGAAACGGACGGAAAGCGACCAAGCGGAGCGGACACGTGCCGCTGAATCTTCGCTTGCTGCAGGTGAGACAGCTGCGTGCCCAGCGCGCAAGATCGAGTTACATCCCCGGCCAAACGTATCTCTCAGAGACAAGCTTAGCAGTAGCTTTAATGCCTGGGTGGGCGATATTGTGGAGGGTGTCGAAAACGATACGGCGAAAAGTTTCTGGAACGACAGGTCGAGGTCGTCCGGTAGATGTGTCGCATAAAATGGTACCATCAGATGACGGCAAAGGATGCGGGGATATCTTCAAAGAAGAATCGCGAAGTTCCGAAAAACTTTGGTCGTTTGATTGCGCGGCTGCCATAGCAGACAAATCGATTGCCTGTCCGGCAGGAGCGATTGCAGATACTCTTGAAAGAGCTTCAGCGATGACGTTTTGTTGACCGGAAATGTGTCGGATATCAGTCGAGAATTGAGCAATGAAATCCAGCTGACGAATCTCACGTGGTGAGTGTCGAGCTGATTGATTTTGGAATGTGTAGATAAGCGGTTTGTGATCGGTGAAGATAATGAAGGTGTTACCTTCGAGGACGTGTCGGAAATGTCGAACGGTAGAGTAAATGGCTAGCAGTTCGCTACTGAACGTGCTGTACTTAACTTCGGCAGGTTGTAGACGTCTAGAGTAGAAAGCAAGAGGTTTCCAGCCTCCATTTGTATGTTGCTGTAGGACGGCACCAATGGCGGTGTCCGATGCGTTGACAGCAACACTGAGCGGAGCGTTTGGATCGAAATGATGAAGCATAACGGCTTTGGCTAAGGCTTCTTTGCTGGCTTTAAAAGCTTCAGCAGCAGCGGCAGTCAGTTCCACCTGACCGTTTTACGTCCACGAAGTAGGTCGGTTAGTGGACTTAGCAAATTGGCACAGTGTGGAAGAAAACGTCGATAATAGTTGAGCATGCCGTTAAAACGGCGAATAGCGGCTAACGTAGTCGGAACCGGAAAGTCTCTGATGGCGCGGACTCTATCGTCTAGAGGCCGTATACCATACTGATCAATATGGTGGCCAAGGAATTCGACGGAAGGCTGCTGAAATATGCATTTGTCAGGGTTGACAGTGATGCTATTAGCGGCCAGCCTATCGAAAAGTATTTTGAGATGTTCTGCGTGCTGTTCTTTAGACGCGCTGGCAACTAGGATATCGTCGATGTATGCATAAACGAAATTTAGACCTCTAGTGACTGAATCGATGAGTCGTTGAAAAGTCTGGGCTGCGTTGCGAAGACCGAACGGCATACGCAAAAATTCGAACAGCCCGAACGGCGTGATTACAGCAGTCTTCGGGATGTCTTCCTCAGCGACTGGAATCTGGTGATACGCGCGAACCAGATCGATTTTCGAGAACACACGGGTGCCGCGCAGGCTTGCCGTGATGTCCTGAATGTGAGGAATCGGATATCGGTCGGGAACAGTAACGTTATTGAGCGCGCGGTAATCACCACATGGACGCCAGTCTCCTGACTTTTTGGGCACCATGTGGAGCGGCGACGCCCAGGGACTTTTAGACGGGCGAACGATGCCTAGTTCAAGCATGTGCTCGAATTCTGCGCGAGCAATTTTCAACTTGTCAGGGGTCATTCGCCTGGCTTTGGCAAAAACAGGCGGACCTTTCGTAACGATGTGATGTTTCGCAGCATCAGTGGCGGATGAAAACGGTGCCATTGCACGAAAGACTTGCGGGAACTTGGTATTAAGCATCTGACCGATAGGCGAGCTTGACAGGTTGGCGTATACAGGACTGATTGACTCTATGTCGGTCAAAGTACCTATAACTGCCAGGTTTGTTTGACGATCGATCAGACGGCGTTGCTTCGCGTCAACAAGTAAATCGAAGTGCTGCAGAAAGTCAAGGCCAAGAATTGGCGTCTGGACATCTGCGACGAGGAAGATCCATTTAAATGAACGTCGTAGGTTTAAATTAAGCGTGCGCGAGCGTTGACCATACACGCGAATGGTGGTGCCGTTTGCTGCGCGCAATGAACCGGTCGCCTCTTCGATATCATTAGAATCACGTGGGATAACGCTGACTTCTGCGCCGGTGTCAACGAGATAGCGTACTCCCGTACTGCGATCGGTGACAAAGAAAAGGCGACTGGGGCAGCCAGCAACGTCCGTCGCCCCTACGTGCTGGCCTACCCGTTTCCCTGCGTGTTGCGCTTGAAGGAACAAGGCGGGCGACACGATCTGGCCTGATGACCAAATCGCTCGTGGTACCAGCAATAGCTTGACCTAGGGGGAGATTTCGAATGTGATCTAGGAGGACTGCGACTACTGGAACGATTTCGGCGGTTGGATCCGGATTGTGTTAGCTTCTCTAGTCGGTTGGTCAATGCGGCTACTTGCGCTCTTAGTTCTGCTACCTCTGTACTGGAGGTAGACTGAACCTGAGATATTTGGGCGTTGGATTCCCAAATACGGTCGGCAATATCGGCGAGCTGAGGAAGAGGCGCATCGTTTGCATACAAGGGATTGCGCATGTCACGTGGCAGGCAACGAAGCCACATCTCTTTAAGGAAAGAGTCGCCAACAGCGAGAGGCTTAGCTAGAGCTTGCATCTTGTGCAGCAACTGCGAAGGCTTTCGATCCCCTAGCTCGGTTTCGTTAAGAAGCTGCGTGACGCGAGCATGGTCTGATATGCCAAATCGCTTTAAGACGACGGCCTTAAGCTCATCGTAACTTTTCTGATGTTCCGGAAGTTCCAAGATGTCGTCGAGGTCATCGACGACTTGCGGGGGAAGCGCGGCGACAACGCAGTGAAATTTGACGCTGTCAGAGTTAACGCCATGTAACGAAAAAATGGACTCTAGCTGGTTAAACCAGGCCTTAGGGTTAGTATCACGGAAAGGCGGGATAGGAAAACGGAACGCACTAACCTGATCGTCAGGTGAGTGAATAACCTTCATGGTGAAAAATTACGGAGCGTGTGAAAGTGAATGCAAGTATTAAAAAGTAAAAGTAGAAGGGTAGACAGAATAATTTACCGGATCTGAAAAGTAATATTAGTACCGAACTCACCAAAATAGTTTTTTTCGGGGTCACCAATTATAGCGCGTAGATCGTGCGCTATATATCCGGTACGCGACTAGACGACCAACCAAAAGTAGTGGGTAGAAGACACAAAAGTAAACTAGGGAAGAAGTTTATTGGACGGGAGGAGCGTTAGCTAATGCTAAAAATAGGGCACCCGGAGAGAGCTAGCTAGGGAGAATGTCGTTGGCGTCGAGAGCGTAGACGGGGCGTCGTTCGCAGTCGAGCCGCGCGCCAAAGGCGGAGATCGTTTTCGTGTTTCCAACAAACGGGAACAACGTTCCAACAGGCAAACCGAATGGTTCCCTAATACATAAGAGAGCTATAATTTGAATATTTTAGAATAGTTTACACCGTCATACGGCGGAATCTCCAGGTGGCTACAGGTTTGTACAGCAAATCCACCAGCTCATACAAAAGCTGTGGAAGGACGGCATTCATTCTGGCAACTTTAGTGGGATTTATTTCATGTAGGAGCGTGAGTACATAAGCTTATAAGGTAGAAAGTGCTGTCAGGAACCAAGCTACTAGAATTTCGCTTTTAGGTCAAAATTCAGAAACGGAGACTCGCAAACCAACGCCTTAGCATTTGGTTCTGCTGATAAACATGCCTTGATCATGTTCGTTGATGCATTTGTACCGCGAGAAGCAAATCGCACGGCGCTAGATGAGGTTTCGTTGCATCTCCGTTTAATGTAACTGTAGGACCGGTTCTGGTTAACTAGTGCGGAGCGGGACACCTTTAATTCACAAGACGCGGTCCGTAGATGTGTTTACAGGCAGAGCAAACTTCACGGTTGCGGTCTTATGTACTTTCCAATAAGGCGGATACGGAAGTCTACCAAAACCTACACCGTCTAAGGAGTCTGCTGCGCGACTCCGAGTAAAGCCATGGTTTTGCCCCTAATTTATTCCGTCCCATCCTACTTGAACTGGACCAGTCTGCGATACGACGCAGGGGAAATTTGCGGCCAAGCCCTTTTTGGCTTGCAAACCCATGTGCCGGGTGGTTTAGCTCCGAGCAGTACATCGTTTCCGACCCCGATAGTGACACAATTGATAAAGCAGGTACAGGTTGGCACCAGCCACTAAGTACGTTTTTAAACTAAGTCGCGCAGAACTCTGTCAGGCGTAGCAAAGACGCGATCGATAATGGAGGGATTTTGGCCCTCCATCTAACTACTGTACCTTTGTTCAAACTTATAAAGAGTCGCTTGAATGGAAAGGTGCCGTTCAGTGCAAATACAGCCCGATGCTGCTTTGCAGGTGAAATTCCGCTAACTGACCTCAGGAACATTAAACTAATCCATAAGTTTGCATCCACTTACCGTATAATTGCGAATAACATTAATAAAACCACCTGACCCTAGACTCACTAATTTTGGTCTGGGACCTCACTATCCTCAGCGTCTGGGTTACCTTCAGCTGACGGTTGACTAAGTTCTTGGTATTCTGTGCCTTTGAGCGATATTTGGCATCTTGGCTGATTTCCAAACCCTGGCTCTACGAGTAGAGGAGGTGCTCGACCGTAGAACAATTGAAACGAGGATATTTTGTGAAGGCCTGTATGGATGATTGCTGGGTCAGCAATAGTAGTGGCGAAGCTTCCTGTCAGTTTCCATTCTTTGCGGCTAGCCAATCCTTCGTCGGTCGATTGTTACGCTCCGTCAAATCATTTGTCTGCGGGTGGTAAGGAGTTTTCAGCCTATTCCTGGTACAAAGTATCTCCAAGCAGTTCCGGAATCCTTAAATCTCGAAGCAGCACACTGTTCTGTTTAGATGGTCTTGGGATTCTGTGATGCATTTTCAGTTGGTTCATGACGACAGGTAAATATTGTCGCTTGTTGATCCCGGGTTCCCGTTGCTTTAATGCCATGCGTAACGTGCTTCGTCTTCAACAAGGTGTATTAGTTGCCCCGCTTGGTCAATGAAAGCGGTCCCACCAGGTTCATCGACTCTAGTTCCCTAGCTTCTCATACTGGAATAGGCAGCACTCGTTGCTTTGCTCCTAGGCAGTCGATTTTCAAGCGATTACATTGCTTGCACAGAAGCACGTACATCTGCTTCCCTCATCATACCCGGCTAATAAGCGCTTTGTCTCAGCAGACGGTAGGTCTGTGAATGAGCGGCGTGCACCATCTCGTGACACGAAATCACCGGTCTCCGCCTTAGTTTTGTCGGAACAACCTGCACCGAATTGTTGCTACTTCGTGGGACCCACATCAGGATCCCTACTTCTTCTTTTGTAGCTTCTCAAAGTTTCGCACAAACGGTCCAAGCTGCTTGTGTTGGATCATGCGTTGGGACCGGTTGACCGATTATTCGTGTGGTGACCACTATGCGCAAGAACTTGTCACTACGTGGTTTGGCGGCTAACTGTCTTTGATCTTGCCCCAACAAAATACCATTATTACCGAAAGTCACGCTCATCATGCGTAACAACACCCGCAGTTTGGTGCATTTTTCCGGGCATGCGTTTTTGTTGTGAACGCATGTTCCTGTAGGCGCAACCCCCATCGCGATAGTTTTCCCCTGAAGTCTGGCAGACTTAATCAATTCCAAAGGGATGTGGTTCGTTTGGACGTGAAAGTGTTGATCTAGCGGATATGGCCGACAACTGTCCAACAACCAGACGATTGTGACACGTCTTCTCCATGGTTGCTCGTTTGCGTCCTGCTAATGTCAAAATTCTACTGGCATGCTCAATCGTCCCACGGCTTTGTTTCAAAACAGTGCCTACTCTAACGCCGCTAACATCCGTGGTCACCATGTACAAATGCCTGACAATGGGACAATTCTGAGTCAGTCCCTGACTTCCCATTTCGTATAGAATGCAAGCAAATGCTTGCTGGGTTTCTCTAGTCTGTTTCAGCAGCTCACATACGGGTGAAGCCACATTGTGTGAGTCCTTGCTGAAAGTGCTGCAGTTCAAATTACGGCCGAGGAATGCCCTAAACATGCGCTTTGAGATAGGAACTAGGGGGCCTTGTTCTGTCTATATTTTCTCAAGTAGTGACTTCAGTTCACCCTGTCCAATTTATGGTCCAATAATCTGCCACAAGTCTTTCGGATCAGGGACTTTGGTCTACTTATACAGAGTTCCAACTGCTATATCCGTTACAGGACAACTTCAATGCACCCGCTGTGCTCCGCACCTGATCAGCTATGCACCATGAGATCATCCTTGTACGTCGCCACGT